TTAAGTAAGGTCTTGTTGTTGTTGCCTATGGACATCTGAGAAAAATTGACAAAGGTGTCAGAGTCATCTTTCTGTTCCTTTTGCTGCGACAGTGATCATCACTGAATGCAGTTTTCATAGATGTAGTTAGAAGCTATCTGTTGTCAGTCTTCAAAAGCCGATGTTATACATATATAATGATTACTATGTTCTGTATATAACAATGTCAGCACTGTTAACAAACAATGAGGATCTAGAAGCTTGCTTTTTTTTTTTTTTTTTTTTTTTAAAATGAACTTGCCAAAATGGCTGTCTCGTAGCTAATTAAAATCTGGAAGGGCTTTTGTGGCTCATGATGTTCAAGCTCAGTTTCTGCAGAGCCTTCACTCATTTTGTTATCCTACAGTATCTTTTAAAGTAGTCAGGTTTCTTTCCCCACCTCTGCCTTCTCAGTGTTTGTACCCTGTTATTTAGTGGGCTGTGGAATTTCAAATGTGGATTAAGTTCTTATTTCCTTTATTGTTACCATAATAAAATAATATGGTCTGTCCACATTCTGCTAAAAACGCATATGTCTGCTCAAATTTAAATTTATTTACCTTTTTACTGTAACTTGTTCACATTTTTACTGTTGCTAAGTATTTTTCAGAGATTGAAATAAGTAAAATGCCATCAAAACTAATAAGAAGAATAAATAAATTAGAAGTCTAGGTCTAGCTTTTCAGACTTTCTTAATATTTATATGCTTGAAAGCCTTATTTACTGTCTGGAGTTCAAATGATCTGCAGCAGCAGGGTCTCAAATGAGTGTTAATTCATAAGGCTTACCAGGAGAAAAAACTGCTCTGGAGTTGTAAAACCTCGTTTGACTGCCTGTGTTGACTTTAATTTGTGCCTTGTTTTCATGTTGGGATAAGGAATAGGAGAAAATTAGTGTTTAGGGAGGGGATGGTATCTCCACAGGAAAAATTTCTAGGTCCATTTGAGGCTTCTAGAGATCCTTCCCATCTGATCCTTCCCTCCTATATTTTCAGAATTCCCAGAAGTGCTTCTCAGAAAAATGTATTTAAATATCTTTACCTGGTTTTGAGGTAATCTCTGCCTTCAGGACAAGAGTGAGATGTTAAAAAGGACCTTTATTTTACACCATTTTGAAGTTTCAGTAATGTAGTTTATGTTAACAGTCCATGAGATCCTTGTAATAAATGGAGTAAACTATTTCTAGCATTTTTCAGTTTTCTCAGTAATCTGTTTTTCATTGTGGTTCTCAAGCACTAAGGTCACTGTTTGTGCTGTCATAGCTGTAATGGTACACCGGGGTGCAATAAACTGCAGATTATGGCTGATGCTATTAGCAAATGAAATTTGGTGAACTTTGCTGCGGCTTCTCCTCACCACCTCTGCAGCTGTCTGCTCTGCCTCTGCCAGGTGTTTCTGCCTGTGCTGCGGAGCTGGCAGAGGAGATGTGTGCCTGCACCTTGCTTCACAGAATGCAGCCTGACATGTTAGCTTACATTGCAGCGGAACGGGGTTTTTAAGCTGAAGATTAAATTGTAGTTTGCAGTGAAGCAACGAAGATGTGCTACACGTTGCCTTCTGAAGCTGCTGTGAGAATGGGAGAGGAGCTGCTCTCTTGGGAGAGGAGCAGACGGCTTCAGGCATGAATATTTTACGTGTTGAAGTAAGATGCAAAAGTTTGGCAAATTCAGGAAACATTTTTGTTGCTTTGGGTTTTGAAATTGTGTTAGCACAGAGATTTTGTTAAATCTGAGGTTAAATTACATTGCAGCTACTTTTCAGCATGGGATCATTTGATTAATGCTCTGAATTCAGAGAACTGAAATTTGGAAAAATGTCAGCCTTACAGTTCATACCAAGTTAACTCTGTATCTTTGTTTGCACTAGATCAATGCATGTTTCCAAGACCCAAGCATTTTTAGGTTTACCTTCACTTGGTTCAGTTAGTTTGTGTAAAAAGTTACTTGCATGTGTGCAAATCTGCTCACCACATGGTCTACAGCTGGCAGGTACCATTAACCAGCTGACACATTCCCACGTTGTTCTAATTTGAATGGTACTTAATTTCCATGTCCTGTTCATAAACTCCCCATAAAGCTGGGTAACCTTACCCTGGTGAGTTCTGAAGCGACACTGGCCTTTGGCAGGGAGCTTAAATTGACTGGAGAAGCTTTTTGTCCGAGAGCATGGCAAGAGATGTGGCAAAGGTTTTGCTCATCTGAATGTAAGAAATAAGATGTATTGGGTGAAAGTGAAGTGTAGTGGAATCCAGTCTGTATGCTGGAAACTTCATCTGCTCTGACACTGGAAGCCTGCTGGGGATAAAGTCTTCTGCTGGTTTGTCATTAATACTGTTTATACAAAACCAGTCAAACAAAAGCCACCCAAAAAACCCCAGAAGAGTAATACTTTCTGAGACAGGAAAAGGCAGCCGTAGGGAGTGTGATCTGACTTAGAGCGTTTGCTTTTGAGTGTAATACCACTAGCTGTGTTTTGAATAAATCGGGGTTTTCTCTCTGTCCGTTTTGCTGTACAGAGTGCCAAATATCACTGATACCAGTATCTGAAGAACCTACTGTTCACTTGCATTGAAAAATGGCGAATTTGTATGTCTGCTTTAAGTATTTATATTTAAATGTAGTGATACGTAACTCTGAGACTACAGGAAGGGTGAGCTGGTGTTGTTTCAAAGCCTTTTTCCTCTGTAGAATTCAAAAGGGACTTGACATTCGTAACACCTCCTTTATTTCATTCACTGGAAGCAGATAGGCAGGGTATCATTCCCTTTCTACTTTGAATTTTTATGAATTTAAATGCATTTTGAGTTCAGAGGCTACAGAAAGCACAAGGTCAGTCGGTTCACTGTGCAGAGAGGCTATCTAGGCAGCCTGACTTGGTGGTTACATATGTAATACTTGCAAATGGGCAGGAACCAATGATTTTGTCTGAATGTAGATAGTATTTAAAATTGTTAAAATATTGATATTTCATTATTTAACATGGCAGTTTCATAGGCTACTTAGTAGTGCAGTAGTGTTTTTCAGCACTTTGTGCAGTTCTTTCAGTTGAAGTCTGCTAATAGTAGAGGAATAAGCCGAGATGTGCATGAGCAGGCTATTTTTGAATGCCTTACATGCATAGTGAGATATGAGGCCAGTGATCATCTGTTTTCAGCCGAAACATGCACTGTTAACATATCAGTTTGTATTAATGATGGGTACTATCAATCCCACATCTTAAAAATCATATCTTCCTATGCAAATATTAGTCATGTCTCTCTGAACTAGGAAAAAATATTTCTAGCAGCATAGTGCATGTATTACTCTCTCTTTAAATAAACTGAAATTCTGCCCTAGAGAATTTACAATCTTAGATACAGAGATGCTGTGACTGTGAGCTGCTTATTGTGACCAAGAACTCTGTGCGAGCTTTACTTTTTTTGGGTTCATCTTGAAGCAACTCAGAGGTCTGTCTTGAAGAGGACCAGATCATCAGCTGTAGTCTAATAACCGGTATAAATGTTATGTATCCTCTTCTTCCATTGTAGTGTCTTTTTGGCAGAATTTATTTGGGTTCATAAGCTAATTTGCACTTTATCCTGAATAGTTTCTAGCATAATGAAATTTCAGCATGATTATCAGATAGAGTGGTTTTGAAATCATTGTTCAGATGCCTCCTGATTTATTTTGTTTTTCCCTGCTATGTTTATGTTCCATTCATAACATGCTGTGTAATGCAATAATAATAAAAATACTGGAAATGAGTTTTTTGTTCTTTTTTTAAATGGAGGAGGAACCTACCTCTCTTCCATGAAGGTATTTTAAAACATTTATATAAATGTGCTCAGTTGCACATATTAAGATAGGAAATGCTATTGAAAGATAAATTCTTTGTGTCTTATAGCCAAACTACAGTGTCTTTTTACAGTCTAAAAGATATGTAATGAAGGCAACGAGATATGGTTTATTGATCTACTTTTATTTTTTTCCTAGAGGTAGTCATAATGGCCAAGTATATGTTTATCTTTAATAAAGTAGAGAAAATGGAGGATGAAGATAAAGCATTGAAATGTTGTTTACTCTGTTGGACTTGTAATGCAGAGGAAAAATTTGTTAGTCCCTGGTAGAGATATAGTGCAATTAGTATTTTAGCCCTGAACTGTACGAAGTTGTTTATCATGGTAATGTCATTTGTGCAATACAAACACACTTTGTTCCTTTACACCAAATTCAACATCTCGCAGTGCTGTGAGGGCTTTGTAGTGAATATGGTCTTGACTGCAGCTCAGGCTTGCATTCAGGTGGGTTTTTTTCCCCCAGCCATTTCTACTTCACTGTTTTTGCATTTAGTTATTAAAAGTAATTTCTAAAAAAACTATGGATGGCTTTCTTTTTTTTTTTTTTTTTTAAATTCTTTTTATCGCCATTTGAGCAATTTGTTTGAATGGAGGGGGTGGTACAAGGCCAACTCGTTTCTTTACCTTTGATCTTAAGCACATTGAAACACTTAATTATAGTGGGCTTTGAATGAGATACCTGGGAATATGTTCTTCACTTTTTCAGGGATATAGTGGATGGATAGTAGAATATTTAAATATTCATGCAGAACATTTTTTGACGAGTTAAGCAGAAGATTTAGGGTACCTTTTTCTTGCCTTGTTTATAGGTCCCTTGGTCTCCTTATTCAATTCACCTTGTGCAATGTATTTTATTGGAAGTAATTTAAAAGGAACATTATAAAACCTTTTCTTTTTGATAGCTGTTTTTTGGAACATATTTGCCTTTTAGTTTGATGTATACTTCTGTGTTTCTTTTTAAGAAGTTGACTTGAACTAGGTATTTCATGTTCCTGAAAAAAAGTGAAGCTTCTTCCTTGAATTCTTGTTGCCTGATTTAGAGAAATTGCAAGCAATGCAACTGCTCTAATGAGAGGAAAGCAGATAATGTTGAACTGTGTGTATTAACATGATCTTCCTTTTTGTTTTTGTTGTGTTTTTTTTTCCAGGAGAGAAATAGAAACAAACAATAACTATATGGAGATGTCCTGCTAGAATTACAACACTAATGATGTAGACTCTGGAAATGCCTAATATGTCTAAGAAGACGTTATTAAAGCTTTTTTCTGCTTAAGGTGACATCTTTGAACACTTTAACACAAAATTGACTCTTCTTGTAATGGTTCTCATCAGTGCATCTGCCCTTATACTCTCTCACCAAACACACTTGAGAACTGTACCTTCGTCAAGCACTTTCTGTCCTGAAGCTTTTACCAGTATCTGCTGTCTTTTGTATTTATGCATCCTAGCTAAGGCACAGGAGACCGAACGAATGCAAGGATTCATTAACTCTTTGAATTTGTTAAATACTAACATTTAACCATTAGAAGTGGTTCAATGATGTGAGATTCACATTGCTTCAACTTAATTTTTTTCTTTGTTGTAGTTTTTTTAATTGTCAGTTTTTAGCTATTCAACAGATTAAAAGCAAATCATGCCATATTTAGTCCTGGAGTAAAACTCGAGTCTAAATGTTCATGTGAAAAATTATTGTAGTAATCTTTTAATATGGCAAAGCAACTTTAAGCTGCAATTTAGCCAAATGAAACGTAACATAAAATTATATTAGAATGACATTTCCCTTGTTTCAAACCGTTTGGTGTAAGAGAATATTAATATGCAGCTTGGTGGACACCACCAGTTAATGCACATTTCTTTATTTTTTTTTTCTGTAACATGTATACTGAAAAAAGTGCATTTGTCTGAGGAACTGTTTGTTTGCTACCACTCAATGAATCTCAGTTTTGAGTAAATGTACCTCAGTCTAAATCAGACTTTTTATGACCTTTATAACTACATTTAAAATAATCTTTAATTCCTATTTCTGGGTGTTTGCAAGCCTGACAGATTGCTATCATGAAAGTGAAAATTTACTCCTAGGTGATTCACTAGCTAAATAAACATAATTCTTGTTTAGCAAGCATATCCTCTGTTTCTCAAATTTTTTTTCTTTCATTATCCCAACATCCAGGTGTTTTTTCCCCATTTGAAAATATTTTGAGAAAAATACTTTGATCCATGGAGATGACATATTCATAGACATGTTAACAAGATTTTTGTTAGAACCATGCAACAAGAATTTTAGAATACATATTAAACTGGGTAATTCTATACTACTTTTTAACTTCTAAAAATTATATCTTTTGTTTCAGCTTATATAGCAACACATTCTGTCTGCTGGAAGAGAATATTAAAAAAATGTTAAGCGGGTGTATTGACTGTACAAAATACTGAACAGCCTGTACCAAACTCCAGGGATAGCTTTCTCTTTTTAGAACAGCAATGTAGAAGTCGGATATGTTATAGCTTAAAATAGCAATACCACATATTATTTGAACATGTTTCATGTCTTACTGTCCAACACAGATGTTTATATTGTGTTTCGAGTCCTACATTTACAGATTCTGGCAAAGTTCTGGAGCTTAAGTGGCAAAGGTTTGTTTTGAATACAGACTATTCTGCTATATTTTACTCTCTCGTCTTAAGCCCCTTGCGCTCTTCTAACCTTGCAAACACCAAATATTCAGTACAAACTTATTTCTTGATCATTATTTACAATATCGTTTGAGACTGCAGAGTAGCAAATACGAATCTTCATTTTTAATGCCAGTTTTCTGGAAGCTCAAAAGGGAAGAAGCTGCTCTCAGTTTGAGAAAAGAAGCCATCTTGCTTAAATGCAGATGTGTAACAAATAGCAAGTAGGGTGAGGGAGGGATAAGCAAAGTGCATATTGTAAGAAGAGACTGGGAGATAAAGGTTTCAAGCCCAAACCCTATGAAATTTGGCTTGAGCCCTAGAATTGCTGCTTTTGTGCATTTCTGTTTCTTGCTAACAGGCTAAAGCTATTACAGCTATTTGTTTCCCTCTGTTGGCTGATTTGTGGATCACTGCCTATTATTGCAACTGTCACTGATCAGTGGCAAAGGTCAGTGTTGTGAGTCCAAAGATTGTAGTCCTTCTGGTGATCCTTCAAGGGGTCAGCATGTTTCTGCTTCTTTGTTACAAAAATATCTTACGAAAATGCACAGAAGTTTCAAGTTAAAAGAAAGCTACTGTTAGAGGCAGGCATTCAGGAATTGATTGCATGTGCAACCTTAGTTTGCTTCCACTGCAGAATTCATATTTTTGCAGGCTTTGTTAGTATTTCCTGCTTTGCCCCTTGCCTCTTTTATTCTAATAGCATGAGCATTGCTCTTGGATTGAATCAGGTTTAGTATAAAATGGGTTCATCACTGTTGCAGACTTTGAAAGCTTAGAAAATGAGACAGGATTTTGAGAGAAGGAGGTGATCACATTTAGAGAGCTGTGACAGTTCTTCTTCTGTTCCAGGATTGTTAGCAATTCCACAAATAGAAGAGTTTCATTGCTGATGGTGTTAGTCATGTTGCGACCGATTTGCCGACTGCTGAGAGTTTAGTATGTGCAGCTGAAATTAAAAGGAATTTTATGTGCATATAAAGTACTGTAAAAATAGTATATAACATTGTAAAATCAGCTATGGAGTACTGTACTAGTTAATGGACCTGTGAAACTTCTAGCCTTCAGCTTCCTTATGCACGAGTTCTTTTCCTCCAGAAAGAAAAGGAATGGTGCTTAATATCTCAAATAAATGTAGAAATACATTTTTTGGTCTGATTTTTCAATACAGTGAAGTTGTTGTGGTGGCTGCTTGCTAACTTGCTAATGGAGGAGTCAGTGGAACCCCTTTTCTGTTCCCAGTGCCTCCTCCTTTGTGCCAGCATTTGTTTTCCTGTGATCCATACTGAGCCAGTTCAAGACATTTTCTGCTGCTTTAATGATCTGAGCAGTTCTCTGTGAAGTTAGATGTTTAGAAGGGACATGGTGGGAGGAGAAGGAAGGAGATTTGTCCTTTCAGAAGCAGGTACCCACTGTTGAATAGGCTTAGATGCACTGTAGCTACACACCTATGGGTTTGTGAACTAGGGATGCAGCAGGATGTTTAAAACTGGGAAAGGCTCCCAACGGGGAAAAAAAAAACCCAAACAATTCTGTGTTCAGTGTAAGATTTTAGTTGTGTGCAGTGATATATGATGTGATACCAGGAGGAAGGAAGAAATGCAGAGTACTTTCCATTTTGATTACTTTTCCACTTTGAAGAGACCTGAGAATTCATACAGAGAAGTTGCTGCTGAAAGACTTGTCCTGCCAACACAAGTGGGACAAATTAAAGTTGTATGAGCTTTGCTAACTTTTGAGTGTTGGCTTTGTAACATCAGCATCTTTAACACAGGTTTTTTGGTGTTTGACAAGAAATAATTCCTGTCAGTTGAATGCTCAGGTTGCTGGCTTAAGGCAAACATGGGCACTGCTTTATTCTGAGGGACTCAGATTGGGAAAAACTCGATATCCTTAACTAGACAAATTTTACTACTTCCTGTCTTTTGCTGTTCTAGGCTTAATTTATCAAATACTTGCTTCTATAAATCCTCTTGCTCTGTTTTCTTCCTTCTGGATCATCTGGCAGTTTCATAATGCACTGTCTGCAAAATTCAGATGCAAAAGCCCCTTGCCAAAATGATTCTCATCCCAGACAAATCTGTGGCACCAAACAAATGATAAAGATGAACTCATGGTCAAGTGCAAATAACTTAGTATTTGGGAGGAAGCATCTTAAGTATTTGTCACTGTTTAGTCAAAGTTCTGTTTTGAAGTGCTTTCTATATCATAGGAGAATTTACACACTTGAAATGTATTCTTTAAAAAAGAAGTTTAAAGCTGTTTTGATGTACAGGTATCAGTGCACCTTTCCTAGCTGAAACTGCTTCAACTAAGCAACAGTGTTTTGAATTCTGTAAGTAGCAGTTACCTAATTTTTTCAAAATTATTGGTGGCTCTTTCAGTGGAAAGGTACTTAAATACTTCAGCTGAATCTAGCACAGTGAAAATCCAGTGTGGACAGTCTTTGAATTTTCTGCAGCACTGATGTTTTTTTTTTTTTTTAATGAATAATTTTAGACATTCAAATACCAATTATCATTTAGGAATGGATTTTACATTATTTTCAAAGCTATTTGAACTCATTTTTCAACCACTTTGTTAAGGAAATACACACCAGTTTTTCAGTGTCTTGTTTATTCTTTTGTCAGGTGAAGATCCATATAATTTACTGATAAATTTGGAGAGAGCAGTTCTTTTCCATTCTGTTGCAGCAAAAACCGATTTAAATTTTGTTTGATTTTGTGTACATTAGAGTATGGTAACTTAGATGAGAATTCTTTGGCATGAGAATTGACCATTTGGTCTCATTCAGTCTGTTTGAAAGTTTCACTGAAAGTAACCTGTTCACATCCCTATTTATTCTGTTTTCAGCCTGATGCATCTGCCATAGTTTAGCATGGGAAAGGAAAGAATTTCTCTGTGGATCACAGAAATTTTAGGTAAATGAGTTTGGTCTCATATAAAATTACAATATTAGTGTACAACTGACATGTTTTCCTCAAAACATCTGTCCTATACTGTCTGTTCTACTTCATATATTTTAATAAAGTGCATTTTAGTATGATTAATATGGACCTTTCAGTTCACAAAGTTAAATTTGTATCCAGTACAGGCTTTTGACAGTATTTCTCTTCACATAATAATCCTGAAGCATTTTATTAATGATACTTTCAGTGTCCAGGGATCCTAAGCCAAATATTAATAATAAAACTTGCTGTTTATTAGTATAAGGGGATGCATAATGTTTGTATTACCTGTTCTTTTCTGACCTCGTCCATCCCCACAAGTGGAAATCTGACAAGCAGAAGTCAAACACCAGTTGGATGTCTCCTCCAGTCCATTTCCCTGCATATTTCACAAGAATCTCTTTTGCCACCCTGCAAGCAGAGTGCAAATGGGTGGGTCTTCAAGTATCTTCGTCCAGAAATCTGTTCTTAGTCAGACATCCAAGAGGTGGTGAGTTTCTTACTCCCATCTAAGTAAGTATTCCTTCCCACTTCCCTACCCTTTCTGGGAAGACTCTGCCGTCACGTCTTTTGTCTGCTGCTTCCTTTGGATGCCCATGAGAGAAGCTGGCATTGGATGCTGTATTTACAATCTACAAAAAAAAGTTCCTGACTTCACTTATTTCCTTCTCTGGACAGAGGAAATCTCCTGGCAGAGTTTAGCTTGTCTCTGTCTCACCGTGTTTGCCACGATGTAAATAGAGAAATACTGCTTTAGTAACTGGATGAATTCAGTCTCCCATGTGGTGTATCCCCTTTTTTTTTTTTTAAGTTAACTCTGCAGCATTTTCATTCAGAAGGTGGAAAGGGACATGATTTCATTAGAATTTTAAAGAGCATACAGTTATTTAAATAAAAGGGTCCACTCTAAGTGTTCTTCTGAATTGTAGTGGTGGTGATAACCGATGTGTTAACAGTGAGAGTTTGTAAGCTGTTTGCATATCCTGTGTGCATTTGCACTTGTCATCTTAATACTGAATTAACTTCCTTTGCCTGTAAAATTAGTTTGTAACATTTGAGAAACTACTTTTTTCTTTTTTTTTTGTTCTGAATCTCATCCACTCGGAGATACTATAATATTTCATCTGCCTGCACAAGTTTATGTGCATCTTGACAACGGAGTGGATGTTCATGTAAAATGAAACAAGATACTCTAGATTGATGACTGTATTTTAAGTTGAGCTTGTGGGCTTTCAGACGAACAAGCTGTCTTGATTTGTGCCCTCATGTGAAGCATTACACTTTAATCTTGAACTCTGAATTTATGCATCCTTTCTTTCCTGTTCTGCAAACATCTGAAAGAAACTCAGATGTTAAAAAAAGAAATCTTTGCTTTATGCTTAGTCCAGGAATAAAAATTTCCAAACTAAGCATTTGAGCAAGCTAAATGGAGGTTTAGCATTAGTTCGAGCTAAGCTATTGCATTTCAGCAAAAGGGTAAGATAAAAGGTTGTGGATCTTTCACTATCTACTGTAATTGTATATCTACTGTTTAAAAAAAAAAAAAAAAAGCTGGCACTTTATTCTGCAAGCATTAATATATGCAGCTGCTCTTTAGTATTACCCAAGAATCTTACAAGTATTTGCATCAGTTCAGATTAGCAGCTATGTAAAACAGAGGATGAAAGACTGAGATCTCTTTCTCCCCCACCCCCCCACCCCAGGAATACAGAATTGTTAAATTGGTTAAAATTCAGATGTTTGTGCTGTGTGACTGGAATACATTGGATGATAAATCTATCCCTCTTCTGCTAGTTCTCTGGAAAACATTGCTACTAAATTTTTACCATAAATTTTTTTTCTCTTTTTTACTTAAATTGGCTGCCAATTTGTTTTCAACTTCTTAACTGGTTCGCAGCTTATTTCTCATGAGATGCTTCACTGGGTCTTGTGAGTGTGGTGCTTCATCAGAAAATGTGTAGAACTGTATTAATTTCTTCAAGTTAATGTAACTTAATTGCTATTAACTTGAGCTATATTCCGTTCAACTTCATATTTTATGGTAATGCTTGGTCTTTCAGTTGTATCGATCATCTTTAATTTCAAGAATACCACTTGCAGAACAGTTCAGAGAAGTTTTTAGTTTCTGAAATTTATGCTTATTTTAAATGTTAATAAATAATTATCGTATCTGCTGTTTGGGTTGCTAGTGAATATTGATGATTTTTTGGAAAACTGAAAGTCAAAGGTGGAGAATGGAATACTTGTCCTGAGAAGTAGATGAAATGCTGGAGCACCAAAGAGAACCAACAGCTGTACAAGACAAAGGATGTTAAACAGCCAAGAGACTGTTGTGAGGCTGATTCTTCACTTACACTTCAGTGTGGCTTTTCAGATGCTGGAAGAATCTTTTGCGCGAAGACTTAAAATTAAGTATGTTCACATAGTCCCATTGAACTCCTAATTTGGTCTGCTTGGAGGTTGAGTTGTGGGGGTTTTTTGTGTGTTTTCATTTATCTCTTATATATCTCTTCCATTTTTCTCGAAAAGTTGTGATTTTGCTCTTGGCCTTAACATCAGTTTACAGTCTTACAGTTAAGTTGCGCTCCAGGATAAGGTTCCCTATTTCACGTTTTCTTTAAATAAGCCGTATATTTACCAAGTATTTGACGGTTAGTTGTGTTCAGTGCATAGGCCATTCCCTTGTCCCAAGCCATGTTTACTAGACTTACCCAGCTGATTTCATGGTCAGTGATTTTTCTAGTCTTGCTTATTTTAAGTTGCTTATCTGAAGAAGTTATTCAGTTACTAGTTTATTTCTGTGAATAACTGTTAGTCTTTGGAGTAGGCTGTGCCAGTAAGTTGCATCATTTTTTATTCTCATACTGATTAAATGACAAGATAATGAAATACGATTAAGTTCTATGTTAGATGAAAAAAAATACTGATGGTTTCCCACACAGGCTGTGTTTTGAACACTTTCACTACTTAACTCGCTTGCAAGTTCTAGTTAGCTTTTTCTGTGCCAAATCTGTCTTAGCAGTGTCCAAGGCTTTTTAGGTAGACGGAAAAAGCCTCTGTATAGAAACACAGCGTTTCTGCAGCATTACACCATGATAGAGTTTCTCACTTAGTGCCTTTCTTTAGATCCGAGAGTAAGATTGTGACTGTTGAGGAACTTCAGTCTCATTCAGTGAGCTTACCTGCTCTCTCTGCAACTGAAGATTCAGTTGAAAGGACACTGTGACTTTCTACCTTCTTTTCCCTTTGATGTTTTCCTCCCATTCCTTGCAATTCAATTAATCATACCTATGGCATGTAAAAGAACAATGAGCTGTTGGTTTATTCGGTTGGAACAAGTAGGAGGGATAATGGGGAATCTCTCAAGAAAATGAGAAACAGATGGAATCATGTGATACTTACACCTGCAGGGAGCAAACACACCAATAAAGCCTAAGGTAAAAGGAAATTGAGGAAATGCTGTCCAGATGTACTCTGTTTCACTACACATTTGTATTTTGGTTCAGTATGGAGCTAAATTCGTGTTGCAGGTTTGGTGTTTGGGGTTTTTTTTAATAATTGAATGAGCTTGCTTTATCTTAAACATCTAGTTCTAAGGATTACAGAAAATAAAAAGCTGGTTTTCAGTTGGGAGAAATAAAGTTTCAATTTTTTTTTTTTTTTTTTAAGTTGGAAGGTACTTCCTAGTCCTTCCCTCCTCCTCCATCCTCAGATCCCCCAGGAAGATCTACAAGCAGTAGAGAAAAAAGTTTGTGTAATGCAGATATTTGAAGAAATGAGTTCTGAAGTTTGGGAGCTTAGAGACTATCTCCCAGCCTATGAAGGAATGTGTCAGTCTGAGGTGCTGCTACCTGGGTGACCCTGGAAAATAATGCAGCTGACTTTTCAAAATGAGTCTATGAAAAGAAACTTGAAACGGAGCTTATGCCAGATCAAATGAGCTGCTGGTTTTTATAATTGTGTTTCTCAGAAGGTAAGGTAGCACTGAGGCAGAGACTTACCAGGGACCCTAAATGAGACCATCCCTGCTGCAGAGTATTTGTCTTTCAAACGATGCACGAGAAACAAGGGAGAAAAATACCCTATGGGTATAGATTGGGAGTTTGTTATTTAATGAAGCACTGGGATAATAGTGTGATGAGTTGTACAGAACAGAATAGCTACTTACTGTCCTGCACTTCAAGTCAGTCGGTGTGGTAAGATTTATTTAAATAAGCTACCTGATTTTTCTTAAATGCTGGTACCAAAATACTGCTGGAGAAAGAAAAATTGTTATTCATTTGGCAGTCAAAAGGTAATCTTGAATGTGACATTTAAAACATTTATTTCTGCAAATATCAGTGTCCCTGAATTTCTCCTGTTTGTATTTTTAGAGAAACAGATCTTCAACTACAATGCAAAAAATGTAACGCAGTAATTTTTACACTTGTACCTACTCAACCACCAGCAGGCATCAACTCATCTGTAGTTAATTGATAATGTAATAAGCCTATCACAATAAATCACATTTTCTACAGGAGAGTTGAACGCCATGCAAAGGGTGAGACATTTGCACCAGACTCTTCACAAATGGATGTCCCTGGGCTTGAAAGCTTGTAATGAAGACGGGCTGGGGAAATGGGGATGATTGAGGGAAGAATGTGCTGGCTGCAAATACATTACCCTATTTTAAAATTCTTTTGTGGAGTGGGAAAAGGCTCAAATAGAAGTCAGTACTGGTGGGATACATGGAAACTCTAGGGAAAGGACACTGAAGGTAGTGGAGTATTGGGAACCAAGAAAGGTTTAGTGGGGAAGGTACAGGATGAAGCGTGGATAAGAGAGGGTGTAGAAAAGGATGCAAAGGGATCTTGAAATAAATCTGTTGATAGTAACTGGGGATATTTCAGTCTTTAAGATTGATTGAACTGGGAGGAAAGAACTGTAGCACAGGTGTTTCATCACGCAGGTGAGAGGAAAGAGTTGAAAGTATGGGTGCCCGCTTCCAGGATGGGTGCGGTTCTCTGGTGGTTGCAACTTTCCACACAAAGGTAAGAGCTTGACCTTGGATCATTTCTGCCAGAGGAGGGAAGTCAAGAGGGAAACATCTGGGTTGGTAAGTAATTTACCCACTAATGTGCTAGTAAAATTTAAAGAAGGATGAGTTCTCTGCAGCTTTTCAAAGAACAGACACGCCGAGTCAGGGGAGACCACACCTCTGCGTATGAAATTTTTCTGGAGAGTTTTAACCAGTTTTAGCCTTCTCCTGTCGTCTAGCTCACATCGCTAGTAATAAAAGGCTCATTGTTGGCTGATTCGGATCCCATTTTGTAGTTCTTCTCACAGTCTGTATGGGACATTCCGATATGGCAGAAAGTTCGGGGGTGATGTCCTTTTTAATTACCAAGCTTCACAGACTGAAGTCTAGCCTAAAGTCTTTGGTCAGTAATGTCACCAAGGCTAATATCCAATACAGGTTAAATTCAAATCCTACTGTAACGTAAATCCCCAAAAACGTGTAGGAGTCTTCTACCCCACTAACTCTAAAGAAATGAACCAAAACGTGGGCTGTAAAAAGATGTATTAATTTGCACTCAGTTTTTTTTCTTTTTCCTGATTCTTTCTAAATCAAAGTACTTTAAACACTTTCATGTGTTTTAGTATTCATAACATTGTGCTCAAAAAAGATCCTAAAAATAAATAAATAAAATATGCAAAGATAACAATTTCATTTTATTGCCTGAAATGAGGTCCAGGAAAGGTACTTCAGTCCTAAGTTTTAACAAGTTCAAGAAGCTTGTTGCAAAAATATTTTGAAATTTCAACCCAGCCCTTTTGGCAGATATTTTGCAATCAAAAGCTTCCCACAAATTGCGTTATATAAGAATGGATGTGTCAGTTAGACCGAAGATCTGGCTAATCTGATGTCCTGCCTCTGACGACAACCACTGGTGAAACACTTCAAGAACCAGTGTAAGAGCAAGGAAAGCCTCAGCTGCCTCTGGCATGCTCCCCTAGCCTCCAGCTAGCTGCAACTTCCTAAATCGGACCCTTTCTGGATTTTTACTTCAATGAAGTAGTTCAGTTGCTTTATGATTTGTGAGTTGTATAAATAGCTCGATGTGAGTTGAATAGATTGAGAAAATCTTTAAAAGGAGGAAATTCTATAGCAAAACATCTTTCTTTTTAAAATTATTAATATATCTGCAGTAGAAACATGACTCATTTGACAGCCAAGAACAAAAGAGTCCATTGAGAACTTTCTCAGAAGGACTAAGTTAAGCATGGATTTTCTCTGTTAAAAAGAACCTTTAACCAAATCCGGAAAATTATCAAGATGATAAATGGAATGTTATTCTACAGGCAAAATGGTGTTCAATTCGCAAGAGTAAATCCATACTGCACATGACAGAAAAGCAGTTCGCAAGTTCCGGTCACTGGGTGTACCCAGAAGGACTATCCCCAGGCTTTCCACGCTCTCTTTTTCTCCTGGAAAAATACCTTTAAGGTCCAGCAATTAGTTACCTTTGGAGAGTATTTGGTTGAAGTTTCCATCTTTAAATGTGTTTGGTATTCCAGAGAAGGCATACTAAAGCAACCTACAGAAGAACTAAATATAGGAGTTAGATGGGGGCAGGTGCTGCACTCCCACTGAATCAAGTGCTTCTGTCCCTGTGCAAAGACAGAATGTGCTCGACGTTGGGTTAGTTACCGGCTTGGGTTCGCTCTTTCCTATTGATTTCTTCCCTCACGCTCGTATTGGGGCCTGCATGAATCAGCAGAGGAAAAAACTGTTCTCAGGTGAAAGTTGGATCTTTTGCTTTTAGCTCAAGTGTAATTGCTGGAGGAAATACTTTCTGAAATGAAGAAATGGCCCTTAGGAATCCAGGTTTTCCTTCCAGAACTTCTGTTTGCAGAACGGGTCAGATGCTGTTGGATATTCCCTCACGTATCCTACAGATCTTAACCTGACTATTGAGCCTCCTTTACAGAGGTAGAGCCCTTTTGTAACAGGTTGTGAATTTCAAGTGTACCATAATTTACACCGAGCTCAGATTATTCTAATGCTGGTATAAAGATGTCTTCACCCAAGTTAACTACATACGAGAGAGTGAGATCCAGGATGGGAAAAGTCCTTTTGATACCTTGTGGTCTCAGATTATGTCTGTGTGAGTGCTCATCTGGTTGTCACCTGCGTTGTGCCCCTCTGCTGCCCATGTGCCCACTTCTTCTGCAGAGACTGCTCACAGTTCTGCGTCAGAGCAATGAGCTTTGCTGCTCAGACTGCTCTCAGCCAGACTGGCCAGCTCAGCAGCACCCTTGGCCAGCTCAGCAGCACCCTTGGCCAGCTGCAAGCTTCTGACTCACGGCTGGATCGTGTCTGGTGCGTTTGGAACAGGAGCAGTTCGAATGTGCAAGCATCTACCTCTTCCTGGAGAGCAAACAAAACAACTGCCTCATGTGATACCTGTGTGGGACAGCAGGTGCATCCGCAGTGTGGCCAAATGAAAAGATTTGGTATCTACAGTCTTCTAGCTTGATTCACTGACTAACAGCATTATAGAAAAGGGGGGTTGTCTTTTTTTTCTGTTTTCATAGAATGGTTTAGGTTGGAAGGGACCTTTAAAGGTCATCTAATCCAACCTCCCTGCAACGAGCAGGGACATCTTCAACTGGATCATGTTGCTCAGAGCCCCATCTAGCCTGACCTTGAATGTTTCCAGGGATGGGGCATCTACCGCCTCTCTGGGCAACCGGTTCCAGTGTTTCACCACCCTCGTTGTAAAAAATTTCTTCCTTATATCTAGTCTGAATCTACCCCCATTTAATTTAAAACAATTAACCCTTGTCCTATCACAACAGGCCCTGCTAAAAAGTTTTTCCAAAAGGCTGCAGTAAGGTCTCCCTGGAGCCTTCTCTTCTCCAGGCTGAACAACCCTGACTCTCTCAGCCTGTCCTCATAGCAGAGGTGCTCCAGCCCTCGGATCATTTTTGTGGCCCTCCTCTGGACCTGCTCCAACAGGTTCATGTCTTTTCTGTGCCAAGGTCCCCAGAGCTGGATGCAGTGCTCCAGGTGAGGTCTCGCTAGAGCAGAGTAGAGGGGCAGAATCACCTTCCTTGCCCTGCTGGCCACCCTGCTTTTGATGCAGCCCAGGATTTGGTTGGCCTTCTGGTTTTGATATCTCAGACTTTCTGTTGAACAGTAAACATCATTTAATCTTCGTGCCTTAGTTTCATGTCAGTCATGTGGGTGCTTCTTGACCTAGCAGGGATTAGGGAATAAATTAACTAAGCATGAAAATACTGTAAAGGCAAGTTTCATGAACTTCTTTTGTTTCAGAGTTTCTGACATTCAGTTGATCCCAAGTCAGGATAATTATTCCAGCTCTGTAGGCAGAGTTCAGAATAGATGCAAGAGGAGCTTTGGGAAGCTGTGTTCTCTCTCCTGTCTAAAAAAGCACGGAGGATGGGCTTGCTAACTGCTTGCATTAACTAATTGTATTCCTCTTCTAGCCCTTTGCTTTCCAGCATCAGATATGTTGAAGGGGCATGTATAAG